CAGAATTAATTAATAAATAAATAAAATAAAATCGTAAGAATTAAAACGAAATTAATTGTAGTTATGGTGATGATAAAAACCGTTAAAACGGTTTTGATCTAATATATTATAGGAATATATATATATATATATATATATATATATATGGGTCAATTCAAAATTATAAATTTAGTAATTTATTTATTGATTTGTGTTTGATATTGGAACTCACTATTACTACATACTAATTAGTTATCATTTGATTAGGCCTATATATGTATAACCGAGACGCATCTCAATTTTAATGTTCTGTTTTCTTATTTGTCTTTGTCGATGTTAGAACTCAATGATGATCTTAATTATATTTTAAATTTTTTATATTTAAAATGATATGTTTGTCCGCAGTTAGTTGCACAAATTCAGATATGAAGCTTTAATAATTTGTACTTATGCACAATCTACTTGCAATCTTGAGTTTAAGTAATATGCATTAATAAACAGTACTTTATGCATAAAAAATGGTTTTTAAGAGTTTTTGTCAAATGCTTTATAATATAGTATATATATATATATATATATATATATATATATATATATATATATATATATATATATAATATCCTCTTGTTATTATTGGGATTTCGATAAATGGACCATTTATTTTTACTAAATTTTGTTTCCAATTTCTCAACAATTAGGTTATTTGGCCGTTGCTGAATGATTTGGTGTAGAATGAGTAAGTGGTCAGAATGATTAGAATACTCATGGTATATTGTAAAATGAAATATAATTGTTTTTTAATTATTTACAATGAAATTAGAACGCTGAATGGTTAAAAGATACATGTGATACAAAATCATTCAAAAGGTTTTAAGACCATTAAAAGACAGATTTTTTTCGCCATACAAATTCATCTTTTAATGATACAGATGCTACATTAGGAGGTAAAGAAACAACCCATTATTTTCACAATCATTGTATGATATTTAATTAAATGACACAATAAATGTCTTTGAAACGTTTTTTTTTTGTCTAATTAATTTTAGTTAATTAAGCAATAAATTATATGTAAGCATATGTTATACCAGCTTATAAAATTTAAACTACAGCGGTATTAATTTACTCATGATTTTGTTTGGAAAGTCGTAGATGGTATATGTTACACGAGTATCAAAACTACTGTGTAGTTTTTTTAAGTATATATATATATATATATATATATATAATATGTATATAAGATAAATAGAAGAAATAAACTCACACTCTTTTCATCTTTGATGAAGTTTGAACCCCTTTGTAGAAGGCCAAAGGCTCATATACCACTAAGTATTGTGTAGTTATTGACAACTAATAAGTATCAACATATCACTATGGGTACATTTGATACTTAAAACATGATAGTACACAAATTTGTTGTCCCATATATAGCACAACATCAGATGGAGATAAAACAGGATTTGACTAGAATAAAAGTTATTTTTTTCTTTTGTTCCACCAAAATAGATGGAACAAAAATTGAAAGAGATAAATTATTAAACTACTCATATTAAATTAAAACCCTAAAACTTTTTTGAGTTCTATCACCCTGACTCTTGTCCGTCCAGTCAGTCAATTATTAAACTTTTTGAGTTCTATCAGTCTAGTACCAGATAGTTAATCGGTTTTTAAATCTTTATATATATAATGAAATAAAACCCACAAAGAATGAGACGACATTCTAAGAAGTGAGTATTCTTTATTTCTTGAAAGGAGAAGATATGCATTTGAAATTTAAAATGGTTATCTGGCTAAAGTATGCATTCGATCATATCTTACAAAAAAATCGATATAAAAATAAATTTTAATTAAATATGTATGAATAAAAATGAAGACGGTAGAGGTTTGAATTGTATAATAAGATTTGAGTAGTTAAATTTTTTGAATTATAATGTTATTTTAGTTATCTAACTTTGTCCATTTATTTAAAATATTCATTAAAACCGAATGTCACATTATTTTTACATAAATTTATATCATCGCACAATGCATGACTTCAAACACTACTTATATTAAACCAAACACAATTAATCACTCTCATTCCTCACCCTCTAAGACCCAAACCAAGCACTTTGGTCTGCAGATGAAACTAAAATCACCATGACTACAAATGATTTGGTAAAGTTCAAACCAATGCCATTAGCTACCATAAAACCATAACCCTCTTCATGAAGGAAAAAAAAACCAATATCATTTGTACAAAATCATAAATATATAGAACAAAATTTTGTCGTTGAATAACGAAGCGCAAAATCGATCCAAAACCGATCTCCGGGAATGTCGAAGAACTAGGGTTTCTTCGACTTGCCACTAGTTGCCAACTGAGATTCAGGCTGCAAAAATTAACAAACTGTAAATTAGCAAAACAATTGTTCTTTTGATGTACTCCGTTCGTCGTGTGAAAATTACAACGTGTTCTAATGTCTAAATACACATGTTCTTGTTTTGGTAGATACGTAAGGCGCTCATTGTCATCATAACAGATCACCATACATCAATAACTCACACACACACACACACACACACACACATATATATATATATATATACAAGATTATCATATTTTGTATTCCCTCGGTGCCAAAATAAACTAGAGGGTGATATATGCAGGCCTCAACTCCACCTAAAAGAGTAGAGTGACTGTTTCAATGATGACCCCCGATTATGAGATGGAGAAATTATAGGTAAAATAATCATTTAATTATTCAAAAAGTATTTTAATCATCCTTAATTATGATTTGGAGAAATTCATTACTCCCTCGATTATTTAAGAGAAATCTGTCATTTAATTAATTAGAAAATATAATAATTAAACATTTATTTTGTGACTTCCATGAGATGGTATAATGTACATAACATAGTTTTCTAGCAAATGGATGTAAAGATTACCTCCTTTTATTATTCTAATCTTGAATATGTTATTTCTCTACTCATAATTTATTTTTCATTATCAACCATTTGATACAACTAATTCATACTTCTTAAAACTTACGTATATCATATTCAATTAATTTTCTCAATTTACATATATATGTTCACGGTTAGTCGGTTACTGAATATATATACGAATGAATTATATAGAGATGAATAATAGATTGAAAATATGTGTATATGAAGAAGGCGCGTGATAGTGTAATTGTCTAATGTATATATTAATAGAAACTCAAAAATCATAGTAAATCCAAAAGATACAAGGATATCGAGTTGGGTTGGGTTCAAATAATAGTAACCAAATTTCAACCCAATACCTACGGTTTGAAAATTTTACAACTCGATTATACATCCAGTTGCTTCAGGTTAAGTAATTTCGTGTTTGGTAGGGTTGTGTTGAGCGGGTTTTTGAGCACCCTTGAATATATCCATGGACGTTTAGCAAAAGTTATTGGTAAGCTATCGAACACCGTTTTATATATTGGTGAGCAAAAACAAAAATCTTATTCGATAACAAGTATGACAAGAACTGAAGATTTTACCCTGTAAATAAGGGAGAAGACTTTGATCTGGTAAGTACTGACTGAGTAAAATATGTTTATCAACAATCGATTTGGTAAATAACCCCTTACATTAAATAAATATCGATTTTTTTTATTAACCTGGATATCCAACCCGCTATACGAGCCGACTAATCCCAGGGTGACTACTTGCTTTGCAGATAGCTCGGAGTCACCGCATTTGAACCTTCGTGGCCACAAGGAGATTTTTATTCCTCCTTGGATTTGAAACTGGGACCTCCTGATACTTTTGACATTTGAAGTCAAGCTCAAACCAATCAGACACCACCCTTGTCGTTGAAATAAATATCTATTAATATTCACATGTAATACAAAAACCTGTTATCTCATATTAGGGCGAATATTAAACCCGGATAAGAAAAAGATATGAGTGGGACAAAAATGCATTTTTGTGTCCCATTAAAATGGGTGAGACAAAAAATAAAAAATATGAAACAAGATTGATGAGTTATTGAACTGTCATGTCAGAAAAATAAACCTACATATGTCAATTTACTATTTTCAGTCATGTTACATACTATTAAGAGACTGGTTGTTTGTAAATCAGTTAAAGTTAACAAAGTGACTGGTTATAAAAAATTGTTGTATGACACTCACCAATTAGTCAATGAACAGATTCAATCGAATTCAGGGTACATACGTATAATATCGTATAATAATATTATGGTATAATAATATTAAAAAACTGAAAAGACTAAAATGCCCTTGAATTAAGGTGTGAGATCTCACAGAGTTGGTCACAAGGACGAGCAAACGAACAAAATGATAACCATAAGAACCAAAAAAGCAAATTTTAAAAAAAGATGACGAAAATAGTTATAAATAACAAACCATATGGACAAAAATCATAGTTTACTCTTACATATCAACAACAGGTAAACCAAACTCTAAGGTGATGTTTGCTTTTATGAGACGTTAAAGTCTGAAGTCTTTTTCACTTCTGATTTATAAGAGATGGTGCTGAAGTCTGAAATCTAAATCAATAAGATTGTTTATATGATAAGCGTCTAACTTTGTTTAAATTGTCTATTTTACCCATTAAAAACTATAGTGTTGAGTTTATAAATAAATTTATACAATTTGATATATTTATTCATCATCATTATGAAATTTACATATAAATTATAAATAATTAACATTCATTTAAACGAAAATATGTCATTAACGATGTTTAACACATTTACATCATATTGAAATACATTAACTAAGAGAGGTGATGATTGATTTAGTAATGATCGATTAAACGAAATGATCGATTAAGGTTAATAGATTGAGAAACGTAATTATTGAGGATTTGAAGAACAATAAAAAACAAATAAGAGGTTGGTTTACCGCTTAGAAAAAAATAAGACATAAATACTTTTAAAAAATTAAAAACAAACAATCAATATAAATGACCAATTAAAATTTGTTCAATAAAATTCATTATTTTAATACTTTCAAATTCCATCAAAAACACCCACGAACCCGCAGGCGCAAATGATCGATAGAATATCACCCTTTGTTTATAGAAGAAACAACTTTCAAATTTGTTTACTCTTTGATCGAAGCTGACATACGGTACCAATGTCGGTCTGACACCCTTAACCGACTGCAACAGAGATTTGATGGTTGGAGATCCCTTCCGCCATGAAAGATCGGTGACACGGTGGCCGAGGTTTTGAGTTTATCCGCTGGCCATTAGAAATTTGATCGACTCCTTCAACGAGAACGACAGGGTTTAACCTTCTAAACATTTGGGGATGTATGTTTACACTCGAAGAAACTTTTCAAATTCTGGCCGAAAAAATGATAGGTAAAGCAGTCGGATCACTCGTCATCTTTCTCATAACCGTCTTCATCACATACTCAATCACAACCGGAGGTTTTGGATCTGGACGACTCGGTACAGTTGATCTGAAATCGCAGTTATCTTTCTTCTCCCTACCTAAAAATGATACGCCATTGCCTTGTCGCAGCGGATCTCCGCTGAGGGTCTTCATGTACGATTTGCCAAAGAGGTTTAATGTTGCTATGATGAGCAGTAAATTCGCGGGAGACGATAGTTCTCCCTTGAATTCCCGGAATCTGCCGGTGTGGCCGCATTATGCAGGGTTGCACCGGCAACATAGTGTGGAGTATTGGATGATGGCGTCGCTTTTGTATGAAAATGCTACGGTTGATGAGAGTAGTGAGGCGGTTAGGGTTTCAAATCCCGAGGTGGCGGATGTGTTCTTTGTGCCGTTCTTTTCGTCGTTGAGTTTTAATACGCACGGGAAGAATATGACGGATCCGGATACTGAATTTGATCGTCAATTACAGGTGAGAATCATTTGAGGTTTCATCGTAACCACGTAGCCTAATTGTTGATGCTTTTAAGATGAGTTTTCGACTCACTTTTGTGCACATAATGGTGATCTCTCGTATCCCCAAAGAAGCTGCACTGTACTTTGGATGTCGTTGGAGTATGATTACATTTCTATCTCAATATCTTCAAATTGTTAGGAGAAATTGCTCACCATGTTGATATTTGTAGAAAGTGCTACAAATAGAACGATATTAGTGCATTTCAGTTGATTCCACTTCCATTTTGCCAATGCAGCTTAGCTTTTTTCTGGAAGGAGGTAATTGTTGCTGAAGGATCCTTCAATTGTGTATAAGATGTTGAAACCTCATCAGTTTGACTTTCTTGTTACTTTTGGTTCCTTTGTTGATGAATATGGGAATGGGACTTCTTGCAATTAGGTGTTTATTTCATGGTCTCCTTTGTTTAGTGATGTATTGATGTGTGAATATGACATATATACTAGGATAAAAGAACAAAACAAGAGGGTAATTCCCATTGAAAGCACAAGAGCCAGTTGCAAGTTATTTAGTTCATAAAGAGCAAGGATCTTCCTAAGTTACAGGCAGAAGTATTTGACCATTTGGTTTGCTAGTATTAAAGTTTACCCATTGACTGTAGATTGGAATGCTTTGAAAATAGTTTGTTTTATTGATTAATAAACAAAGCATGCCAATGCTGTTGTAGTTTAAGAGGAGCTTAAGCTTCAAACCTCAATGAAGGATGTTTCTGAGTTGGATGATGCTCTGAAGAAATAGGAGAATGAGGTGCTTTATGCGGATCCAACTGTTGACTTGGGTGAGGAAAAGTGATGTACTCTTTGCCTTAAGGCTGCATTAATTGACTTAGTTGTATGTCACCTACCCGCCCTCCACATTCCAGCCCTCTATAGTAAATACAGAGCTTTATCTGTGATAATATTTATTAGGCTCTTCATATAACTCCACGGCTCCACCATTCTAGTTTTATGTACAAACCATTTCTTAGTATCATCAAAAGAGTCATCATGATTATACTAATAGAATGTTTGTACGTAGGTACAATCAAATTACCTATTTACTGTGAACTCTCTTGCAGACCATTTTAGAGCGATCAATCCCCTTTATAAAGTTTTGTCCATAAATGATCAGGAATATCTGCGAGTACAACAAAAAGTTACTATCAAACTCTTTGTTTTTTAGAATAAACATGTAACTATTTCGTACTATCTCATTTTATGATAGAATTCTCTCTTCATAATAGAAAAGAAGTGGCAAGCTTGATGGTAACTTTGATGGTTGTGGCATAGTTACTCGAAATGACTACTTTTCCGGTGTAATAATTTCCAATAGTTGAGGAGAGGGTGGTCCCTTCTAAGGATGTCACTGAACTGAAATATATTGCAGGTATGAATCAAAAAGTTAATGACAGTCGGTCCTATGACTACACTCTATGATGCAGATCCACCGCTACTAAGTTGAATTACTTTTAGAAGTCTTTCAATATTGTTAGGAGCTATTCACTCCACAAACACTTGTTTTATATCACAAAAGGGTCATTGGCCTAGTAGTACCTGGGTTACAAGTAGCGCCCAGCCTCCCTAAAGGCCAATGATTCAAGCCTCACCAAAGGTGGGAGTGTGCATGAGTTTTTGTCCACCATATATAAATATTATGCACTTAAAAAACACTTGTTTTATATTGCATATTCTTAAATAAATGAAATAAATGTATTTGTGTTAACTAAATTGTGAGGCTAGAAATATAGTTGTGGTCCCTTCTTAATTAAATTTGTTACGGATAGTTTGCTATGCACTCTTATTTGTTTTGCTTGAGAACCAACAAGCCGTATATGTTATAAATAAACTGTTGAAGTCAGATAGATTAAAAAAACAAAAATAATAGATAAAAATACTAAACATCTCTTACAGTTCCGTTTAGATGTTGGATGTATCTTAATTAGGTAATGTAATAGTCCTGTTCAAGAACCTTATGCTAGTTACATTCGGTATACAATTAATTAACCATTAAGGTGTTACACACTTCTAAACTTGAGAGTTGATCTGAGCCTAATGCTTTATTACAGGTTGACATCCTTAAATTCTTGAGGAAATCTAGCTATTGGCAAAGGACTTCAGGAAGAGATCATGTGATTCCTATGCACCATCCCAATGCTTTCAGATTTCTTAGGGAAGAGGTGAATGCATCTATACTCATTGTTGCTGATTTTGGGCGTTACTCAAAAATCATGTCAAATCTACGCAAAGATGTGGTTGCTCCTTATATGCATGTTGTGGAGTCTTTCATGGATGATGACCCTCCAAACCCTTACAAGTTGCGAACCACACTTCTTTTCTTCCGAGGAAGAACAGTGAGAAAAGCTGTATGTCACAACCAACATGAATGAATACATCAGATATTCTATCCGTCCCAAAAAAGTTGCAACATTCCCTTTTTTGACCAGTTTTCAAGGTTGAGCCATCTCCGCTATCCATCTCCATTGTAACAACTATTTGGTAGAATTGATTGTGGTCCACAAGATACTTTTTATGGAGGACATTTTAGATATTAGATAAATAGTCAAACAAGTACCTTAAACTACTTACAAGGTCAAACATTGTTGCACTTTCATGGATGGATAGAGTATGGAAATTATGTCTTTCAGAAACAACCAAATAATTTAATGAGGTCATAATGTGTTGTGCAGGAAGGCAAAGTTCGTGCCAAGTTGCAAAAAGTACTAAAAGGTTATGAGGATGTTCGCTTTGAAGCTGGCTATGCTAATGGAGAAGGCATAAATGCGGTAAGTCTAAAGTTGTTGCAACATTAAGGGTGCGTTTGATACAATCAAAATATAGAAACCGTATAAAAACTATATTTGGAGGACAGTAAAGTAAAAGTTTAAAGAACATAAAATACAATAAATAAAATTTAGGGAATGAATAAAATGTAAAGATGAAGGCTTATTTGATGTTTTAGAAAATAATTATGTTTTATTTTGAGCTTATTGGTAAAACATAGGTCTTTTCCATATTGTTTCATGGGGGTGGGGGTGGAACACACCTATTCCACTTTGTTTCACTTTATTCCTGTTTGTTCTATGTAGAAGTCCTGCCAAAAATGGAACAATGATCCCTGTTATGTTTTGTCTGTCCAATGTACCAAACGCTCCCTTTAAGTCGAACTAGTTAGTTTTCTTTCTCGAGTTCAGTTTTTCCTTGTTCTAAAATTTCCCCATGTCTCATGAAAACTAAATTATTTGACTTTAGCAATGTGTTTAACTATTTGTCAGTTAATTCTGGTGGATCCAAGTCAATGCCATCAAAGTTAGTTGTAATCACAGTAATGGGCAAATGGGTAATTATATGAAACTTTCCAACAAATGTTGCCATTTTCATTTGATAGGGAGAGTATTACACCTACTTCTTTGGATCATCGTAGTTTTGTCATACTAGAAAAAGTACACATTAGTTGTAAGTTTTTTAGTGTGTGTGTTTTTAATGTGTATACTCTAAATATGTATTTTCATAGAGGTGTTTTTTTGTGTGTTCTTTATGGAAATACAGAAGGATATATGTGTATATATATATTATATTTTAATAAAAGTTTTTTATTAACTTAAAAAGCAAATAAGAAAAAGACAAAAAAAAGGAAAAAGACCAATCTGCCCCTGACGGCCTGACCTAATGATTTTTAACGGCTGTTAGTGGGACGGACCAAAACCGGACAAAAATGCAAATCGCGATGACAAAAGTGTATTAAATGAACTCTAGGGACCAAAACCAATAATTTCGGAAAACCGCATGGACCAAAAATGAAGTGTACTCTTTTAAGTTTTTTCTTGAGATTTTTTGATTAAACTTTTAAAGTAAAAGAAGTATTGAGAGTCCAAAGTAATGATTTTAATGGGACAAAGGGAGTGGTTTATTGGACCTTTAAGGATGCCTTTGGTATGTTGGAGGGGTGTTTCTCGTTGTGCAACATTAGACTCGGACAAGATAATACCCGAGTGGGACATACGGAAATAGGTGGTGTAACGGAAATTACTAATCTACGCATGTTAAATTGAAACCCTAAAACCTCCCACAGTTCTTTCATCCACATACCTCACCTCGCTAGTCCGGTCACGCTCATTTCCGTATGTGTACCAAATATATCCTAATAGTCAAAATGTACCTTATTTAGTACTCCCTCCGTCCCTAAATAAGTGTTTACATTTCTATTTTAGTTTGTCCCAAAATAACGGTTCACTTTAAAAAGTATGTGTTTATATTTTAGTTAGTCTAGAAATAAGTGTCCACTTTAAAAAATATCTGTCTACTTTCACATTCTACCCGCAATTATTATAATTATGTGTATATCTTTATTTGTCTCAAAATAAGTGTCCAATTCAAAAAGTATGTGCACTTAATTATAAGATAGGGGAATATATGTCTATTATTAAGGGTAAAATTGTCCTTATACTTCTATTCAGTAGTATATAATTACACGTTCCTAAAATTGTGCATCATTTTTATTGTAAACATTTAGTTTGGGACGGAGGGAGTAACTTTTTACGGCCATATCCTACACCATTAGAGCATCTTCAACAAATATGTTATTTTAGAAACATTAGAGATTTAGAAAAAAATTGCTCCAACAACGATACTCAACTCTCCTCTAAAATAGAAAAAGATAGGAGATAGAAAAGAGAACCTCAAAATTTAGAAGAAGAGAGAAAATATAGCATACCTATTGGAGATTCTCTTATGATTATGAGACTCTTGAATTAAGGGGCTCTTTGGTTGGTTTTCTATTAAGTTTTTATTGGATGAAGATGTCTATGTGGATTACTTTGTCTATATATATTGAGAAAGTTTTTGTTTGAGAGGTTTTTTAATAGACGGAATGAGCGTGTTTTTCAATTGGGAGGGACCAGTTTGAGGAAAACTTGGTTTTTTGCATAAAACTCCCCTTCAAAGCTTACTGAATAAGCCACTTTTATCATTTGGTCACTCTCAATCATGTAAAATTGACTAAGTTGCGAGTCCCATTTAAGCTGCTAACAAACAAGCCTTAAAACTGATTCTTCGTGTAACCAGTCTACGCACGGTATGCAATCATCAAAATTCTGTTTACATCCAGCTGGAGACACGCCTTCATCTAACCGTCTGTTTGATGCTATTGTGAGCCACTGTGTTCCCGTGATTGTGAGCGACCACATCGAGCTCCCATACGAGGCTGAACTCGACTACACCAAGTTCTCCCTTTTCTTTTCCGTTCAAGAAGCATTGGTTCCCGGTTATATGGTCGAACAACTCAGAAAAATACCCGAGAAGACATGGATTCAAATGTGGAAACGACTCAAAGAAATAGCGCACCATTTTGAATATCAATATCCTCCGAAAAAAGATGATGCAGTTAATATGTTATGGAGACAGGTTAGGACTAAAGTTCCTGCTGAAAGACTTGCTGTAAATAGAAACCGTAGACTGCGAGTGCCTGATTGGTGGTAATAACAAATTGGTTTCGATATAAATGTATGAGGTTTTAGAGGGTTCGGTGGCTCCAGGCGGTGGAAACTTTTCTGCCGCCTGCGGCTACCATTGATGCACCATGGTAACTCGATCAACGATTGTGAAGTTTGAACCCATGGCGTATGAATTATAGTCCGGTTGGGACACAACTTTTAATGCGATTGTTGGTGCTCGTACTCTCGTAGTTTAACTCTTTGTAGAAATTTTTGTATACTTCAAACTTTTTTGGGACAGATGACAAGTCTGCATCTGATTTTAGATTTTATATCCGAGAGAGCAATGTAGAATTTGTTTAGTTTGGTTTTGTTTTATTGCAGTTTATAGATCTTCAAATGTGGAAAATTTAGCTTTTAATTTGACATAAATTTTTTTTAATAAGAAATTACGTCAATTTTCATTTTTGATTTAGAATAAGATTTTGTATTCCAGAAAATTTCAGTGGGTAAATTGCATGAAAAAGTAACGTATTTTAACTTAATTCCTATCTTAAGTAACGTGTTTTTAAAACTGTCATTTTGGTATCTAAGATGTAAAGTTTTAAACATTTATGTACCCAAGTAACTTGTTGAAGCATCAACCGTTTATCATGTTGATGTGGTGTGTGATATGACATCCAACTCAGTATTATTTGTTGACGTGGTTAGTGACATAGATTTTTTATATTCTAAAATTAGTCTTCAACCGATTACTCGGGTACTTAAATGTTTAGAACTTTACATTTTATATATCAAATATGAATCAAGTTTAAGTACGTTATTTCTTTATGCAATTTACCCTTTAAATAATATATATATATGATTATACGACCTGAAACTTTCAAACGGTTTGGATCTTCGTTTTCTCAAGTCAACGATTTACAATGGGCTTCGTAGGATGAAAATTTTCGAACATGATAATATTTTTATTTATTATCCAATTAAATATTGTGAAATTGAACATGGCACAAGTTGACCACATGGTTGACTTCTCTCATATGTACATGCATTTTATATATCGATCTTGTCCATGGTTTTTACCCTCTTTCCATTTCTGTTAAGTTGTTCTTCAATAACCGGTACGAGTTATGGTTCTTGCCGTTATCGTTGTTAAATTCCTTTTGCTGGTATCGGTGGTGTCTTCTAAAGGTACGTTTATTACGTTGTTCTAGTAATACATGCATGCTGGGTCAGTGGATCCCCACTCCCCACGGGTGTTCCGTAGCTAAGTTGACCACACGGACGACTTTGTTTAAATACACAACAGGTTCAAGTTTGAATTCTGTGGGAGACGAATTTGAACCTCTTTGTTAGTCTCGGCCAGTGACAGATCCATGATTTTTGCGGATTGGGTGCACCTTTAAGGTGGGTCAAAGTTCTTTAAAATCACTCGATGTGTTTTTATCCGAATTCTACCATTTTCTTGGGATTTTTTAAAGTTTTTTGGTCGATTTCAAGAGATTTTTCAATTTTTTTGATTGATTTCGATGGGTATCTTTTGGTTTTTTGTTTATTTTGAGAGATTTTCGGTTTTTTGTTTATTACATCGAAAAACATTCGATAAAGCAGTTATACTTCAAAATCCGAGTTTCGAAACTCGACCAACAAATCTAACGACAAATGCCACCTCCGGATTTGCTCTCCTTGATGCCAAAGCGAACGTTATCCCCGGTTGGTCGTTTAATGGCACGGTTTGGTACGTAACATCGGGTGAAAACATTTCGCTGCCCGAAAATGGTCACGGCTTGCAGTTGGGTCCAAACGGTACGATCAACCAGACATTCAGATCAACTGGAAGTTACGATTACGTCCTCACCTTCACACTTGCTCCGAGCCGGGAAAACTGCGCCAACAACTTCACGGCTGTAAATGTTTCGGGCCCGGGTACATCGGAGGTGTTTTTTTTCAAAGAATCACTCGGGAAAGAATCATGGCAAACTTATGGTTTTTCGTTAGGGAGCCGTGAAAACCGAAGGGGTCTTATGAGTTTACAGATTCAAAGTGTTGCGACCGATAGTCGTAGTAATACAAGTTGTTGGCCGATCGTCGACACTCTTCTGATCAACGGGATTCAGAATCCAAGGATGTATTCAGGTATCTCGTCATCCAAATTTGGTCATAGGATCAGGGTAGGGTTATAATTCGAGCATTTAACGAGCTACACGAGCTCGGTAATCTATCCCAGAAACAAAATAATGCTCGTTTGATTTAACGAGTCGGAGCTCAGTAACACCATTGGTTGACTTGCCTAATTCAAAAGCTCGATTTAATTTTACGAGCCGAGTTGAGCCGAGTCGTGATGATGTGAACATATTTCTTTAGTGAGACTAATATATTTGTATGCTTATAATAAATCATACACTCAAAATATAAAAATTATCGAACTTGACACAGTAAATGAGTTGATCGATCTCGAATTCGAACCCTTATATCTCGAGTTGATCCCAAACGACTTGCCACTCGACTCGTTAACATTCCTAGATTAGAGCCCCTAAATCTACCGGTTTTGATATGGGTATACAATTTCTTCAATATTTATCAATATATATATATATAGAGAGAGAGAGAGAGAGATGAGTTCATACGAGAACATTAACCAAATAAGAGAATAAAAAATAGTCGAATCATATGTGAATTTACACTAAAATCACGTGTAAAATCACCTGTGATTCACGTGAATATAGGTCATCGGTCACGTCGCCCGCACACCCTTACGTTAACCGTTAGGGTAAAAAACACATGTGATTTCATTTTCATGTTCTTTTATATAGTTATTGTTCTCGTTTGAACCTCCCTCTATTGTGTGTGTCTAGAGAGAGAGAGAGAGAGAGAGCATGAAAGAGTCAGATTCATCCGAGAAGAGCAATCAAATAAGAGAATAAGAAAATAGTTGAATCACGTGTGATTTTACCCTTAAATCATGTGTAAAATCACATGTAATTCACATGATTTTTCAGATTGCGGGCCACATTCTCCGCACACCTTTATGTTAATCATTAGTGTAAAATCGAACGTGATTTTGTAACATGATTCCCTTTTCATGTTCTCTCATTCAATTACTGTTATCGTTTAAGGGTTGGGTTCAGTGAGAAGCGTAAGAAGGAATCTCCATCCTTAGATGCACATTAGGATGAGATGCACCGAGATACAGCGGGTCAATCTCTGTATCAACTGCCATTCATGGGTGAGTTTGAGATTAAGCAAATGATCATGTGAGAAGAAGAGTTAAAGTGAGAAACATAAAAAGAAATCTGGATCCTTGATCACCTTTAATCTCAAACCTACCCATGAATCACGCTTGATACGTGGATTGATCCAATGAATTTTAGTGCATCTCATCCTAATATGCATTCAAGAGTGGAGATCCCTTATTACACTTCTCATCTTAACTTTCCCTCTTACCAGAACCAACCTTATATATATACAATATATATATATATATATAGAGAGAGAGAGAGAGAGAGACTTGGGATCAAGTGAGACCAGCCAGTTTTCGTAAGACCCGTGAAACCACTTTTTCACACTTGAAACTTCACAGCAAAACGCTGTGAAGGTAACTTTCACTGTGTTTTTGCTGTGAAGGTTCGATTTTGTTTTATCTTAACAACGTTTTGCTGTGAAGTTTTAAGTATAAACAAAATGTAAGTGACATTTGATAAATAATTGAACATTTTATTTTCTTCAGATAATGGCTTTGTAAACAGTGGGTTTGAAGTTGGACCAGCATTTATCGACAACTCCTCTCAAGGAATCCTACTCGAGGCTGATTCCAACAACGATCCTTCCAATTTTGTTAAATCTCCACTGCAAGATTGGATCATTTTAGGCACCGTTAAATATATCGACTCGAAACATTTCGCGACGCCACGAGGCCGAGCAGCGGTCGAGCTCGTTTCCGGTAATCCGTCGGGAATCCTGACAAACGTGTTCTTTTTGAGACATGGGCAAGTTACTCTCGATTTTATCATGGGCGATGCTAATGACTCGTGTGTCGGAGATTTCACGGTGTTTCTGCAAGTCGGAAACACGATATGGAACTTTACAATGAGGAGCATCGGTCTCGGATCAAGAGAGAAGCATTCCGTGACATTTAAGGCGGAATTTAGCGATTCGGATTCAGTTCCTATCAGTTTTGTCAGCTTTAACGAGACTCGAACTAGTGATCACCAGGTGTTATGTGGACCCGTTATTGATAGCACGAAAATATGGTTTTCCAATGGGAAACAATTGGGTAACAAACTTGTGACTTTTAGCTTCGTTTTTGTAACGACATTTCTATTTATGGCATAAACTGTTGTTTGCATGTTCGTTTTCATCTTTATTTCAAGCGTTTTATCTGTAATTGTTCTTCTACTTTGTAAACTACGCACACGAAATAAAATGCCTCTAAAAAAGATATAATCCCCAATTTTCATATAGTCTATTTTATATTTATTGATCAACTTTATAAGCTAATGATCTAATGGTCTAAAGTTGCAACAGTGACAATTTTGTGATTATTGAGAAGTCTCGTGGCAATTTTATGATTATGAATGTTCAGATTGTAGATCTAATCCAATTGTTGATAATTGATTTTACGGGTCTCACGAAAAACATTTGGTCTTACATGATCCCAAGTTTACAAACCAGTATTAAATGTTTCACATTTGAAAAAACTTAATATAAACACTATATTTTTATACGTATTGTTTATTTTATTTTTTTGTTTATGGTAATTATATATTTGGTTTTTTGATGGTTCAGTCTCATACATTAACACAAAATAGTTTTTTTTTTAAATGAAAATATATTTTTAAGAACAAAATGTATGTATCAATAATTTAAACCATAGTCTCCGATCTATAACTCAGTTGGTAAAAATATGAGACGATTTTGTTCAAATACAAGACAAGTCATGGATTTAGGCATGGCAACGGGGCGGGGATGGGACGAGTTTTCTAATCCCCAGCCCGGTTTCTATGAACGGCCCCAGGCCCTGGTCCTCGGCAGATACGGGGATTAATATCTTATCCTCGGTTTATTTTATGGTCAAACCCCGATCACATCATGATCTTCGTCCCTGGTTCAAAACCTAATTTTAGAAAATAAATAATATATATATTATTAAAATATATTAATAAAATTATATATTGGGTACGGGTTAGGTCGGGAGATACGCTACCGACCCCAACCCTGGTTTGAGTCTACCGGGATCCTCGACCCCGGTCACGGGACCCGTCTTGACGAGGAATCCCCGTTCCTGTTTGGGTCAGGTGAACCCAGTTCCCCACCGGGTCAGGGCAAATCACTATCCCTACCTGGGTTCGATTTCGTCAGCCTGAGTGGGACATAAAATGCTCTCTCACATTGATGTCTTTAGAAACGAATTTCATGTGGGGTCCATTAAAATTACCGATTATCAACTTTTTATTTAAATAATAATATATGTAACGTTTATAAATTTGATAGTCGTATGGTAAGAAGTTGGAAGGTCAAAATCAAGAAAATGGCATACCAATCCCTTCCACAATCAACAACCTCTATAATATAATAATAATACTCCATCCATCTTAAAACTACATTTTTTTGTTTTTTTTTTAAATAAAAACGTGCTTTTTAATATCTTTTAAATTAAACATTAAAGTAAATTACGTTTTTCATCCCTGTAGTTTGTTAAAAGTTATGGATTTCATCCATGTGGTTTGAAATTACGGTTTTTGTCCTTATGGTTTGAAATTTATTTCTATTTTCATCCTTGATGTTAAACACTATCTTTAACTATGGGGGACTTATATAGAAATGAATTATAAACTATATGAACGAAAAAATTAATAAAATTTAAATTATAAGAACAAAAAAGGGAATGAATTAAAAACGATGGGGATGAAAAACGTAATTCCAAAATTACAGGGATGACAAAATTTAATGAGTTTAATGAGACTCACAATAGATTTGGTTAGTTATACATGATTGTTTAGTAATGACTTAATGATACAAAAAGTGACTTATTCGGTAAGATTCTAGGGAAGACTTTATATAGAAAAAGCCATTTATTTTCCTTTCCAAACATGCCTCCTTCAATTAAAGAACACATTTATTTCATCTATGGAAGAACCCCCCCCCCCCCCCCCCMCAAAAAAAAAACAAAAACCTTCCCCATTTATACAGACAGCATAATCCACACAATTAGCTTTATTCATACTTGACTTAATAGAATACCAACCGATCAACCCCTTAGACATATATATTGCATGTATTTTTCTAAATGAATTTTTTTAAGAGTAAATTACGTTTTTTTGTCTTTATAATTTGTTAAAAGTTCCGGTTTTCATACCCATTATTTGTAATTCGTTATCATCTTCGTCCCTAGATCTAACTCTAATCTTTAGGGATTAAAATAACAAAGAACCATAAACAACAAGGACTAAAACATCTGTAAATTTTAAATCTTAAAAACAAAAATAACAACAAATTGCAAACCATAAAGATGAAAATCGTAATTTCAAAATCACAACAATAGAAATTGCAATTTTGAAACAAACTATAGGGACTAAAATTGTAATTTACCCTGGTTTTAATGATATATTTAATTGGTTTGAAAAGGAAAAAAAAGGACTGCTTAACCAAAAAGCTCAAAATGCTTCTTAATATGTATGCAAAACCAGTGTTACAATGTGTCTATCAAACAAACTATGACCATGCACCTCAAACACCACCAAACCAAAAATTATCAGTTTTTTTTTATTTTCGTCCTTATGGTTTAGAAATTACGGTTTTCGTCCCTATGGTTTATAATTTGTTACTACTTTCGTTTGTATGATTTACAATTATTTCTGTTTTTGTTGGTTTACAATTCTTTACTGTCTTGATCTCTTGTTTTGAATGATAGAAATTAGTCCAGAAATGAAAATAACAATAAATTGTAAATTATAGGGACGAAAATTGCAATTTCTAAACCATAGAGACATAACTCGAAATTATTAACAAATCACAGGACTAAAATTGTAATTTTCTCTTAAAAAAGCAAAAGACATGGGGAATTCTTGGATCCAAAGCTTCATATACTCTCACCAACTTGTAGCTAGTATTTGCATTCTTGTATTTTAAGCAAAAACCCACTTCATATTCATCATTTCATCTTGCCACAACTCCATTGCCATCACCACAGCTCTCATATGGGTTCTTTTCAGACACCCATGGCCACTCGAACCGCGAAGATGCTCGAGACGTCTTGTGGCTATTTGTTACAAGAATTACAGGTGAGTTTAACTTTTTATTGGGCAAATTGCATGAAAAAAAGTAACGTACTTTAATTTGATTCATATTTTGAGTAACGTACTTTCAAAACTTTCATTTTGGTACCTAAGATGTAAAGTTTTAAACATTTAAGTATCCGAGTAACCGGTTATCATGTTGATATGGCGAGTGATGTGGTATCCAACTCAATATTATTTGCTAACGTAGTTAGTGACATGGATTTCTTTAAATCTAAAATTAGTCATTTTTTTAATCTAAATTAGTTTTCAATCGGTTACCCGGGTACTTAAATGTTTAAAACTTTACATCTTAGTTACCAAAATGGAAGTTTTAAAATACGTTACTCAAAATAGGAATCAAGTTGAAGTACGTTACTTTTTCATGCAACTTACCATTTTCCAGTTATTGTCGTATATTTTGTATCTGGTAGGAGCGTGATTTGATGATTGTATCTAGATTTGTATTTGTTTGTAGCGTAAACTAGTTTATATGACAGATGATTTGGGATGAAGTTGGCGAAGATGAGTTCGAAAGAGAAAAAGTTTTGGTAGATTTGGAGCACGAGTGTCTTCAGATATATCGAAGAAAAGTTGATGATGCGAATATGTCGAGGGCACGTTTGCATCAGGAGTTGGCAGATTCCGAAGCTCAATTTACTCATTTAATTTTGTCACTCGATGATCGTTCGCTTCCTGGAAGGGTAAAATGGTCTTTCAATTTATGTACAATAAACAAACAATCCAACATCGGATCTCCGTATAAACAAGATCCCGAAAAATAATAAAAAACTAAACATAGGATCGACCTCGGTTTATTATTGTAGCCGGAGAAATTGGCGGGGACGTTAAAAGAGCAACTAGGGGCGATTGCTCCGGCTCTACGGAAAATGCAAACGAGAAAGGCAGAGAGAATGAAGCAGTTTCGAGCGGTACAATTGCAGATTCATAAAATATCTGCCGAAATTGCTGGTCAATCTGAATACGATGATTCATTACCCGAAGCCGTAGTAAATGAAAACGATCTTTCGTTGAAGAAACTTGAAGAATATCAAATGAAACTTCAAGGACTTGAGGCTGACAAGGTACAACAAATCTCGTGTAAATTGTCAACTCACCACGTTGTTTTGCGGACTTGGGTCGGATCGGATACGATCAGACCCCACCTATTTTTCTATCAAACGGGTCTAATATATAAAATCATGCCTTATATATATATATATATATATATATATATATATATATATATGCGCTTCATTATTTGATAACCCAATATATTATGAAAATTATTATAGTAAGGTATTGTTTCATATGATTTTTTCATCTAACGATAGAATTTAATATATTGATTAACATATATTTATTTCACAATGTCTACTTTGTTTCATATATATTTGGTTCACAATATGTTTGTTTATATATATATATATATATATATATATATAGAGAGAGAGAGAGAGGGGGGGGGGGATCAAACGAGAACGGTGTCTATTTAAAATAACATGAAAATGGGCAAGTAAAAAAAGTGTGGCTGTGTCTTCAGGTCTCTAGGCAAGTTGCCAAAATCACATGTGATTTTGTATGTAATGTTAGTGTAAAATCAAATGTGATTCGTCCGTTTTAATGTTATTTTAAATATGTATCATTCTCGTTTAATCCTCCCCCTCTCTCTCTCTCTATATATATATATATATAAATAAAGAGGGGGGTTTCATTTAAAAACCTTAAATATTTTAGGAACCAAAGAACCATATTTTTTGTGAGTCTTCGTGATGAATATGGTAACAAATATTCATGAATACTTACAAAATAGGTGGTTCTGATTAGTTCATAAAATATTTAAGGTTTCTAAAACAATATGTTTTCTGTATACATATAATGCACACACGGGTTTGATGGATTGTCTGAATTTTTTGTATTGTTCATGTCTACCCATTAATCTTAATTGGTTGTTCTAGGCCCGACCATTTTTTATTTCCGTATAATCGCTGCCCAACTTCCAAGCCCGTTCTTTTTCTAGCAAATCAGGTTTAACTTGCCATCGGCTCTTGCGAGATCTTCTTTTGGTTTTCTTAAAAGAACGTTTCGTAAGGGTATTGATGGAAAGTTAATGGTAGAATGTAAACAACACCTATTATTTGGCGGATCGAATAAGACATAACCGAACAAGCATGTATGGTTTATATATTAAATAAGTCATAATGGTTATTCAACCCATTAAGCCATAACCGAACAACCCTTTTACCGCTCTTTTGCAGCAGCCCTTTTGTGGCTAAGTTACTTCTTCTGCTAATTTTATTACATTCTTGTTTCTTGTTTGATTTGAGATGAATTAAAAGAGTGACAGGCTTGAAAGGGTGAAAAACTACATAATCGCGATTCAGAACTTGTCGGCTATGTTAGGAATGGATTCATCGATGATCATAACGAAGGTGCACCCGAGCTTGAACGAGTTATCGGGTCTCTCCAAGAACATGAGTGACCGTATTTTGGCTAAACTTAATGCCACCGTAGAATCCCTCGAAGCCGAAAAGCGTTCGCGGATCGAAAAGGTACATTTTAGGGTTTAAGGTTTTCGGTTTAGGGGTTACTCTACGTTTTGACTTCCGTGGTCAAATTGACTGATTTTAGATTCAATTTTGATATAGATTCTGGATGCTTTTCAAGAACCTTAAAAGTCAAAGGATACATTTCTGGTTCTCTAACTCCTTTTAATGTTTTTGCAGCTTCACAATCTTGGGAATTCTTTGAAAAACTTATGGGATCTAATGGACACACCCTACATCGATCGCCAATTGTTTTCACACATCTTGGGTTCGATCACGTCGACTAATATCTCCGCTCCCGGAAGTCTGTCCATCACGATGATCGAGCAGGTTCGTATTAAGTTACATGATACTAACGTAATCGAATGCATCATATCGATCTTGTGAAGCGAAAGTTTTTTTTTTTTTGTTGTCAAAATGTCATAGGCGGAGGCGGAAGTCGAAAGATTAGATCAATTAAAAGCAAGCAAAATGAAAGAACTTCTCGTAAAGAAGCAGACCGAGCTCGAGGAGATTTGTAGGCGATCGCATATGGAAGTCCCTTCGCTATCAAAGACCGACCATATCGTTAACTTGATAAACCGTGGTTAGATTTCCAACATCGTATTATTTGTTGTTTCTGAACAAGAATCGGATTTTTGATCTAAAATTGATCTTTAACGATATGAATTAGTTAAAGGGTCTTTGGCCCAACGATACCCGGGTTATGGGTAGAGCCCAACCTTCTTGAAAGTCAAGGGTTTAATAGTGGCGGATCCAGAAAGTGAGATGATTGGGGGCATAACTAGGGATATAAAAAATGCAAAGTCGAATAACCCATCCAACCAAGTGAGGTTCGAGTTAAATGGTTTTGGGTTATTCGGGGGCATGTGCCCCTACCACTGTAACGTGGGTCCGACAATTGGTTCAAGCCTCACTAAAGATGACTAATGTATGTGAATTTTGCTCGATATAAATATTATATACTTAAGAAAACAATATGAACCGTTGTACCATAGGTGAGATGGACTATGCCGATCTCCTAAAGAGCATGGATGAGCAAATAACAAGAGCCGAAGACGAAGCTTCGAGTCGGAAAATGATTATGGAGAAAGTTGAAAAATGGGTCTTGGCACGAGACGAGGAACGATGGCTAGAAGAATACACCATGGTTAGTTACCAAACTATTTATCGTCGTTACAATTTGGATATTTACATGTACATTTTATTGGTCTACAGGACGATAAAAGGTATACAGTCAGTAGAGGTGCTCACAAAAATCTAAAACGAGCCGAACGTGCCCGTGCCATGGTCAACAAAATATCAGGTTCAAATCAAATAACTTGACTCGTTAAGTGTAAAAATACGATATCCTTATAAAATAATGGTGTTATATAAAAGTTGTATCCAAGTTTGACCTTGAACGGTCAGTTTTTATCCATAACGGTACTTTTTATTTTCCATCTTCGAATAATCAGAAAAAACTGACACTGATATGATGAAAAAATGCAGCTTTGGTGGAGTCGTTGATACTGAAGACGAAAAGTTGGGAAGAAGAAAGAAAGAAGGTGTTTTTATACGATGACGTAAGATCAAGATACTTTCTCTCTCCTATTTTTCTCTGTTTTAGAGAGGAGTTTAATATAGCTGTTGGAGCAAATTTTTCCCAAATCTTCAAAATTCGTAAAACAGCATGTGTTGGAAATGTTCTTATAGAATATATTTATAGAGAGAGAGAGAGAGAGAGAGAAATTTGACCTTTTTACAAGTCAATAACATGTTTTTTCGTTTTATAACTGATGTTTGGTTGCATAGGTACCTTTACTGGCGTTGATGGAGGAGTACAATATGTCGAGAATTGAAAAAGAAGAAGAGAAACAACAACGTCAAAGGGTTTGTATAAGTTTTGCTATTAAATTGTCTAGAAACTAGAGTTGGGATCATGTAAGACAAAGCTGTTTTTGTGAGACAATTAAGACAAGTTTTTTACATTTGAAACTTCATAGCAAAACGGTGTGAAGGTAACCTTAACATTATTTTTGCTGTGAAGGTTTGACTTTTTTACCTTCACAACATTTTGCTGTGAAGTTTCAAGTGTAAAAAACTTGTCTCGCACATCTCACGAAAACAACATTGTCTCACATGAACCCAACCCCTGGAAACCAACATTAAAATATTACATATTCAAATCGGAAGTCGGTTTATTTTTTACTGTTGGAGCCTTATATCAGCTGAACTTGGACTTTTTCTCCTTAGTATCTGATGGAACTTCCGTTGTCTCTCCATGGGCTTTTTTGAAAACAATCTATTGAGATTTCACATATTTTCACAGTATCAATAATTTGATTTCTCTTCTTTGGTTTGTGGGTCCCTTTCATAAGGATTTGTACGTGTAGGGTCCATGAGTAAGAGCTTAAATGAAATGATTTAGACGAAAAGAGAACGAGTTAAAATGACTTATTCGTCCTTGTAGGAAAAGAAGATAACACATAGTCAAGTGGTGGTTTTGCACGAGAGTGTGATGCTGACGAGGCCAACCACCGGCTCTCGTCGTCAGTTGGACCGAAGCGTCGATGGAGGGTTCAAAATTAGGGGCTCTACAGGCGTACAACTAGTAACGAATAATGTCAGATCGTCATATCAAAACGCACTCAAGGGATCTCAAGGACCGAAGATATTTGCACGTGCTCGTATTGATCGACATCTTAGAGAAGATCAAGCTTCTGGTGGCTCACCGTTTTCTCTTAACTAGACGCAATGGCTCGTATTAATTGCATCAAAACTATCAGTAATAAGTCGCCGTTGTCTGTTTTTTTAAAAGTAGTCGTTATCTATTATTATCTGATTTGTTAGAATATTGATTTATACATGTAAAACAATTAAAATTATGTACATTGACGAAAAATAAAATATTATTTTACTGATATCTACATTGTTATAAATAAATTATAATGTCTCAAAATAAATCTATTATGAAGATCAAATGAAAACGATAGGTCATTTGAGAACCTATATAAACATATATACAATGTATGGATTTTCGTGAGTATATGCACCGAAGCTAAGGATTTTGTGAGAAGGAGAGTTGAGATGAGAACGTAAGAAGGGATATGGACCCTTGACCACTTTTAATCTCAAACTCACTCATGAATCACATTTGTCATAGAGATTGATTCGGTACATCCTGGTGTATCTCATCCTAATATGCATCCAATTATGGAAATCTCTTCTTACGTTTCTCACCAGAACCCAACCTGTAATACCCTATGCACCGGTGCATATATTCTTACATACATAGTAGATTTACAGGGTGATTTATATTGATGAATATATTTGTTGACAAAAACACTTATTTTTGTATATGTGGTGTGTGTGTGTATATATATATATATATATATATATATATATATAGACTTGGGATCATGTGAGACCAATGGTTTTTCGTGAGACCCGTAAGACCAATTCTCAACCATTGGATTAGATTTATAATCGTTAGATCTGAAAATTCATAAATGCCACAAGACTTCTCAATATTTACAAAACTGCCACCTTGCAACTTTAGATCATTAGATCATTAACTTATAAAATTGATCAATGAACATAAATTGGTCTTACGGGTCTCACGAAAATTCTTTGGTCTCACGTGAACCCGACCCTATATATATAGATTGATACATATATTAATTTTTACGGTTTTAAAAATATTTTTAGTTCTCGTTTAAACATTTTTATTTTATTTTTATAATTATTTTTTCTAAGTTGTTAACCATTTTGACAAATTTTGAATTTTCAGGAATGTAAAAATTGGCTTTCTGCATAAGCTTCCTATAAGTTTATTGAAAAAATCACTTTTCATATCATTAAACAATTATCAAATAGTCATCTATAACAGATCAAATAAACTATAAATCTTATTAAATTTATTAAACTGATAACGGAAGTCTCTAAATATAAAAAAAAAGTAAAATTAGCTATTATAATTTTATATCAAAATAATTAAGGGCAAATTGCATAAAAAAATAACGTATTTTAAATTGATTCTTATTTGGGGAAGCGTACTTTCAAAACTTCAATTTTGTTACCTAAGATATAAATTAAACACTTAAGTATGTTGATAATCGGTTGAAGTATTAACTGGTTACCATGCTGATGTGACGAGTGATGATATCAAATTGAGTTGAATAACAAATAACACTGAGTTGGATATCATATTACTCGCCAAATCAACCGATTACCCAGATATTTAAATGTTTAAAATTTTACATTTTAGACACCAAAATAAAAACTTTGAAAGTACGTTACCAAAAATACAAATTAAATTAAAATATATTATTTTTTCATATAATTTGCTCAATAATTAAATAATAATATTTTTGAAAGACGTCGTTACGAGCACGACCAAAAATAATCCGCCATGGCTAAGAAAAGGGAAAAAGAAAGCTATGGATACTTTGGCGAAAACGGTCCATTGAAATTTCACCAAAACACTTTTGGGCTCTGACGGTGGGTTGTAGCTTCTTAATCCAAATCCTTGTAGCTTCGATCTTCAAAGGAAGAATGTGAGTTTGAATGGAATCAGCTCGATGCAGATTTGGTTTTCTATGTTTCAATTGAATAAAGAAGTAACTAATCTTCTGTATGTATGAATCTAGGAGGGCTTCGATCAAACGTCCGCCCACGCCAGACGCAGAAGACGAAGATCAAGATCGAGAGCCAACTCTTCCAGAAATTATCAACATCAAAGTACGATTTTGTTGGATATACTGTTAATTAGGGCACAGTTTTTTGTTTTGTTATTGTTGTGTTTGTTTCAAGTTGTTTGAATTGGAGATTTGATTGCTTAGTCCATTAATTTGGGCGTTTTTTGTAAGTGTGTTCTTATGGCTTGGTTCAATTGTTTTAGTTGATTGAGAGTGGAGAGAAAGAACGATTGAAGGAGCTTTTGAGGGAAAGACTTATCGAGTGTGGATGGAAAGATGAAATGAAGTCTCTTTGCAGGTTCTCCTCTCTCCTTCTCTCTCTGTATATATATGTATGTATGTATATTAATGAAACCTTTGGTTCTTTGTTCATTCTGCAACTGCCAACCAGTTCATGTTTCTCTTCTCATAGTTGCAATTTTTGTTGAATTGACAATTATATATATGAATGTGGAGGTTAAGGATCGTGTGAGAAGGAAAGTTAATGTGAGAAGCGTAAGAAGGGATATGGACCTTTGATCACCATTAATCTCAAATCCTTCCTTGAATAGGACTTGATACAGGGATTGATCCGGTGCATCTCATCCTAGTGTACATTCAAGTGTCCTTCTCACGCTTCTCACCTTAACTCTCCTTCTTACCGGAACCCAACCTTGAATATGGTGGATAATTGTGAGGCGTAAATTTTTTGATGATATGCTTGAATGGATGTAGATAGTAACAAGCTTATTGAATCATCCATAAGACGTGTTAGAATAAGAGGCTGTTTGGTTGGTTTTCCATCATGTCCTTCATGAAAAAAGTTGTCAGTGTGTACTAATCTGTCTGTACAGATTGGAAAGGTTTTTGGTTAGGAGGTTATTTCATAGATAGAAAGAGCGGGTCTTTTAATTGGGAGTGAAGGTTTGGAAAAAGCATGGCTCTCTGCATAAAGCTCCCCCTAGAAGCTAACTGAATAAGTCACTTTCTATATCATTAAGCCACTACCAAACAGTTATGTATAGCTAACTGGATAAGTTGTGAGTCTCATTAAGCTGCTAACAAACATGCCCTTAAAATAAGCAACTTATCGTCTTTAAGAAAGAGAGATTTCACCACATTGTAAGAATGTGGAACCCCATTAATTAATCTCCAAAAGATTCTTCGAGGAGAGAGGATGTTTCAACATATATCGAGGATAATTGGTCCAAGTCTAGCCCATATAGTACTCCAACGTGCCCTCTCCAATGGAGGCTAGATGAGCACAAATTGTCCCAGAGTGTCGAGCCCATACAGTGGTATGCCTTGACTTTGATACCATGTAAGAATATGTGGATCCCTATAAGATTACCCTCCAAACGAGCGTATGAGGAGAGAAAGGAGGTTTGGTTTCAATATATATTGAAGGGAAATGGTCCAAGCGTAGCGTATGTGAGACTCCAACACACATAATAAGATCTCATTTATCTATCTTATTTAGTTCATGGATAACGAAGCAGCCCCAGGGGAATGAATGCCACTTGATAACAACAATCATCCATAGTGAGAGAAATCCTTTATCTTTCTTGCCCCTTTCAGCTAATCAGCTTACATATCTTTAACCCGTGTCTTTGCTGGCATAGTTTTGTATACAGCTTGAAAATTTGTATTCTGGTAACGAAATCTGAACACATTGCTGGATCACTTGGTTGGTGTATATCGCATGCTATCTTTCTCATATACTGCCATCTGATATTGATAAATACCTTCACAGATCATTTACAAGGAAGAAAGGAAGAAGTAATGTAACTGTTGATGACCTTGTTCATCTCATTACCCCCAAGGGCAGAGGTGGGTTTATACTTATACCTTTCACTTCCATTAAATTTTAGTTGCTCTTGTTACCGTATGATTTGTATATATTTTTGCTACTCCAGTACCGAGACTTGTGATCATGTGAGACCAACCTGTTTTCGTGAGACCACCTAAAATAACCCTGAACCTTCACAACAAGACACTATGAGTGTTTTTGTTGTGAAGGTTTGGTTTCTTTTTTGTACCTTCACAGTGTTTTGATGTGAATATTCAGTGTTATTTTGTGTTCTCATGGGTCTCACAAAAACAGATTGGTCTCACGAGAACGTAGTCCTACTACTGAATTCATTTATGTGGCCATTGGACCATGTGTTGCAATCAGGGAAATACATTTGTCCTTCATGAGCTTTAGCATAATCAGGGAAATCTTTTTAAAAAAATTGGGTTGGAAAGTAGGATGCTTCGGCAAAAATGGTTAGATCATAAAACTAAACCAAACCAAACGAACCCTGTATATCCCACTCCAAAATAGGGTTTGGGAGGGGTAGGATGTACAGAGACCTTACCCCGACCACTAGGATCGAGAGACTGTTTCTGTGAAGACCCCCAGCTTGTGCATGAAGCAAAGGTTTTTGAAAGCAGACAATAAGATTGGTAGTATAACAAGGTAATCGGGAAAATATAACGGGGAGAATAACGAATCAATGGTGTGCAAGCAAACAATGTAATCAGGTAAAACATGTAATGCAAGTAGAAAGGGAAATTGACCGAAGCACTCCACCTCCCCAACCAACTGCACTTTTTAGTCAACTTTTCAATTGAATTCCCATTTTAGCCAGAGTTTATGCAGATGTCTTATCATCTTATGCATTTGCGTAAACCCGATTTTCAGATTAAAAAAAAGGAACATTTGCATGAGATTCAAATTTTTGCGTAAAGATTCAGATTTTTGCGTAAAGATTCAGATTTTTGCTTAAAGAATCCTTACACATATGTGGAAGGATTTTTTTTATTTTTTATCTAGAAATCAGTCTTTATGCAAATGCGTAAAACATCTGTGTAAAGACCGGCTATTTTGAGAAGATGCTTTGAAAAGTGGGTAAAAAATGAATTTTGTTGATACAATTGGCTATTTCAGTCAATTTCCCAAGTAGAAAACCCCATTAGGAGATCCTTCTAGAAACTGGCCACTCTAGTTTTGTGCCTCCAAGAACTCCCATCAGAGGTCATGTCCCCGAAATGCGTAAATCTGCACCCACGTTATGTGTATTTTATTTGGTCATTGAAGGATCTCAATCAGATAATTAACACCCTCTTTCCCGACGTACATTATGTAGCTGCGGTTCCTGATTCAGTAAAAGCCGAGCTATTGCAAAGAATCCGATCTTTTCTTCAATCAGCAGCTCTCTGATTTCTATGGATGTCGCCATGGTCTTGCCGTTGTTTCTCTGCTACATTTACGTTCGTTCTGAATTGTTAGAGAAAACGTCATATGACGTCGACCCATAACGACGAAAAGTGGAAAACTATTCGAGGATAATTTTGATACCGTTACTCGAGAATGTGGTGTGGCTTATGGTTTGGTAGTTTGTGTTGTACAATTTGAGAAGCTGGTTTTTCTCATCTTCTTTTATGTGGATTAATGTTCTTTTTTGTTTGGTCATACGTATTATGCGGTTTCTCGTCATCATTTTACCATCGTCTCGATACAACCCCACACGCGTAATCGTGTTCTTTTCATTCATAACATTGTTTCGTGAAACATATAACGTATTTAGCATGATTAATATTTGAAACGTAAAAACATAGCATGCTCATTTAATCATCGTAACTATATTCAGTAAGTATACATATTTCGAAAAGGCTTTTGGCCTAGCGGTATCGTAGTCATTGGCTTTCTAAGAGGTCAGGGATTCAAACATCACCAAAGGTGGGGAGAGTGTGTGAACATATGTTGTATATAAATATTATATATTTAAAAAAAAATACATATTTGTGCTTTCGATACAAAAAATCACATAAAATATGTGGATTAGTGTAGGTTTACGCCTAGACACAAACCCTGGACAAATGAGATATTCCACCATATCTCTCAACCGCTACACCACAATACTTGGTAAGTTAGCTTATAAGCTACTTTATGTCCATCTAAATTCAAAAATTAAATTGGCTTATATTTATGTATCTCCATCTAAATAGAAACTCAAAATTAAGCAGACTTATATTTACCAGATGCCTAAGGTTACGAAATTTGAATGGTCAATTCTATTGACCAAATATTATTCCTGCATTTTGTTTATTTTTTGAGTTTCCATAAGGAATTCAAATTCCACATATAGTTATAACGTAAATTCCTATGGTTTTAAGGGAATTTCAATTCCCTTCTACCATGTTTTACGAAAAACTATTATCCTCTTTATATTACTTCATTCAATTCCAACCCACCAATTCACCGTCACCGTCGCCACCGCCACCACCCGTCATCACCGTTGCCGCCACCTGTCGCCGCTGCAGCTGGCACGACTTGTTGCCTCCGCCATCACCATCATAACCACTATCACCTTCACCCCCACCCCCACTACCATCATTGTCGTCACCACCACCGCCAATACTACCACCACCGTTGACACCAATACCGCCTCTATCCCACCAATACTGCCTCTATCCCACCACCATTATAATATTCGATGTACCAAATAGACAAATTCACATTTTTTTGAAAAATTTCACCCCAATTTATGTCAACGAAATGCATAGTGAAACATGATTAAATTCCATTCAAATTTCAATTCCTTTGAGAAATTCCACAATCTTTGATTAAATAAAACTCAATATCATCATATTTTAATATACATCTAAATATCGGTTTAATGTACGTTAATTTTTTAAGTAATAAACCATTTAAAAGAAAAAAGATTAAAGGTTTATTTATTATGATTTAAATATTTATAAGAAATAATTAATTAAATATTTCATATTAAAAATAATTAATATATTTAGAAAATTAAAGTATCTATACTATATTATAAAATATTTGATAAAAACTCTTAAAAACCATCTTTTATACATAAAGTATTATGTATTGATGCACATTTTTTAAAATTCAATAATACAAGTAAATTGTGCGTAAGTACAATTTATTAAGCTCCATATTTGAACTCATGTAACTAACTGTAGATAAATATAATCAAATACATGATAAAATTTTTATTTTAAATATAAAATCTAAAATATAATTAAGATAATTATTGAGATCTAACAGAATATTTAGTTATTATGTTTATAAAAATTATATTATTGAACCTAAAATATATTATTTCGTTATTAAAACTAAATTAAATTATAATAAAAAATCTGAATTAAAGAAATTATACAAAAAATGAGAACTTATATATATATATATATATATATATATATACTAGAAGAGTACTCGCGCAATGCAGCGAGACACATCTTAATTTTAATGTTCTATTTTATTCTTTGTCTCTATCGATGTTATAATACGATTTTATGCGTTTTAAAGAAAACAATAATGATTTT